AGTGTGCTACATTTAGGGAGGCTTTATTGGCCAGAATGGAATTAGTTTCCATAGGTATGGTTTGGGTGTGTGGTGTGATGTGTACTAGCCTGATTTTGTGTGTGTGTATGTGTATAGCCTGATTGTAGGAATTGTTATCTTTTTGTTGCCTCAGAATGAGCTGTTTACATTTACAGATGCCACAGGTCGCCGTAGTTTGTCCTTCACACTTAGAAAAGGAGGGTGAAGCGAGGGAGTTGTGATATGCAATTCCACTGCTAGATGTCACTGAATTTCTACACACTGACCCTTTAATGCAGGTTTGCACAGTAATTGAAGATATTTTGTTAAGTCTTTGTGTTAAGTGTCTACAAACTAACTACACAATGTAGTTGCGTAGTTTATGTTTCGACACCTAACATGGAATTTAATTGGTAATTTTATTTTCCCTCTAATTTTAAATCCACTTAACACAGTTTAGGCCAAACAAAAAGTAGATCACACACACTCTGTGAACAGCAGTCAATGAAGTGTGGAAGGAGAATAAGGCATTTGTATGTATTAGCTACTTCTTGCCTCTTAGATGTGTCTTGCTGCATGTTCAGCACAAAATGTTTACTAATGTGGAATGATTCATTGATTCTGCCCAGAAGACCATTAATCATTGAAATGGTTGTTCTCAGGAGTGACTTAAGTTAATAACAAGATTTATATGGGAAATGTGAAACAGACTGATAAAACACTATTACTACAGGTCCTCTTCCACAATATGTCCAGAGGTTTTTTTTTTTTTCTCTTCTAATTCAGTTTATACAATTTATCTTCCTTTCATAGTGTAATGTGAATATTGCTGAAGTCTTGATGATAGAAAGCAGGCGAAGTATAAATTCTTTTAAATATGGTTCTTAAAAGTATTATTAGCTCCGCCAAGGAGATTGTGTTTCGGTGCCATTTGTTTGTCAGCAGGATTACGGAAGAACTGTTGGCCTGATTTTCATGAAACCTGTTGGAAGGATGTAGAATGGGCCAAAGGAAGGACCCACAGTTTTACATAACAACATACAACCAAACATAACCTCCACCTCAGACATCGCTGTAGAAACATGTCTCTCTAAGAGTTCTTTGAGTTCTTGTTGTTATTAATGTCTTAACAGAGATTTTTGACCAGTCCAAAGAACAAAAATGACCAGGGGAAGGATATGTATTAATGATTCTGTCCTAAGCAATTTGTGCATTAATAAATTTCTTTTTAACTGCCAACATTTTTGTGACATTTATTATTTAACACAAAAAAATGCAAAGGCACACAGGGGCATGCTGGAAAAGTGAGTGAAAATGAAAGTGGTAAACTGTAAAAGTAAACTTAAAAATGTAAGTAATTTCATATTACGTTGTCATTTTTAATTTTTTATTGTGATTACCACTGAAGTTATTCATTATAGAATCATTTTAATTACAGAGTGCAGTTATTCACCAAATAATGCTTCATGTCTTAATGATGCTTGTTAGTAGTTATCTGATCATCATGGGGAATAAAATGGAACAGAATAAATATGAAGGAGTAATAAAATCCCATTAATTAAAGTAACATAGCAAAGTTAATGGCCAACAGCTTTGCTTCACAAGACTTTGGTCCCCAGCACCAATTTGTTAGCCGCAGTTGTTTGTTAAATGTCAATCCTACTTCCCAGTGTCAGAAATAATGCCCTGGTCCAATGCTTTGCAAAATGATATATTAATAGGATTATCATTAATGTGTGCATACTAATAATAACACAGTCAGTGGATGTTTAAATAAGCATATAATTACAGCGGGTGTCAGAAAACCCATTTGAGGATGTCATTTATCCTCCAAACAGCTCAAATTACGTAAAGTCACATTGGCCTCTTTAACTTTCCTCAGCTTAGGTGTCCTCTTCCTGGGCTGAAGCGTGCTCAGACAGGGGGTGTAAGGGGTCGGCTGGTTGGAAGAGATCCTCCCTCACAGGGGTAGCGCGGTTTTTCAAGGCTGGAGGTAACCAGTGGTACAGGTTGTTTGTCCCACTCTCCCTGAAGTAAGAGATAAATGATGTGAGTGATTGGTTGTTTGGCAAAAAATGGGAAGTGTCCTTGATATTTGGACAGCAGGCTTTATTAGGTAACTGCGCAGTTGTCACTGTGCGATGCATCAAACTTAGTTACTCTTCAAAAATGACACTCAATGGCATTTTTTGTGGTCTTGAGTGTATTTTAGTTGGACAGCTTTAAGACTGTGAAAAGGTTGTTTCCTTCCCTTTTCACAAGGTCCAGTTCCCTAACATCACAGTCCCGGTGTTTTTATGTGAAATGATTATGAGTGTTTTGTCAGTTAATCTGTCAGTTTTTTCTTGTGATGTCGTTGCCGATCATCTCCCCATTCACTGAAAGTGTGCATCAAGGGGCATTGAAGCAGTGGGCATCTGGAAGCTGTCAAGTGATTTTAGAAAGGGTAAAAATGTTCTTGGTGTATCTGTGTGTGTCTGTACATTTTAAAGTCAGCAATAACTGAGAAATTATTGCTTTGTATGTCATTGCGTATTCATTGAAAGCTTTGGACCTGTGTAGCTCACCCAATGTTTGTCTGAGCAGATGCTAGGTTGCCGTTAGGTGAGGTAGAGAGGCTATAATGTAAAGTAAATGTCTGCAGTAAGAGAGTAAAAGGCTGTAATTTTTCAAATGTTGATTTCAGCAGAAGTTTTTTGATTGCATGAGCTCCTGCCTACAGTTGGAGTGTTGTACATCATTCCTTGCAGCTTTCTAGTGCCAAACTAAATCTGCTGCCCTTTCTGTGGAGTATCGACACTACAAAGACTAAAACTGTAAAAGCCTGGCTATGAGTTTGACTGCTGAATTACTCTGAGATTATTTCACGCTTGATGTCCTCACCCAAAATATCTTAAACGTTGTTAAAGCTAAATCTTTCGCTGCCTTCCAGCAGTTGGCATCCATTAATGGAATGCATGCAGTTTGTGAAAAAGACCACCCATTGTGGCTGAAGTTAATGAAATAAAGGAATAAAAATGCTCTTGAAAGCATCTTCATTTATGTATGGATTAAGCAGTATGCATACTTTCATGA